ACTAATACTGATTCAATTTTAATATTAGTTAAACAAATTTAATTTGAAATTGTTTGTTCCAAATTAACCAATTAAACATTTAGCTTAATGTAAAGGTACGTCTCTTTATTAATGTATGTGTTTATTGTTCCTATATTGCTGTAACAAAAGATTATATCCTATTATTAACTTATTCAATTCTTATTAAATATACAGAGTATGCGCTGGCGTATGTACATGCGTAGGCGGAGTGTATGTGTGGGCGGGTAGTTGTATATGTAAGTGAATGTGTGGGTGGATGTGAGTGGGTGGAATACTTGTGAGTGTTACTGTAACCATATTAGTAATAATAATAATTTCACATTATCATTAACTTTATTCAATTGTTAATGACACTAATATACGTGCATTTAACGCATACATTGTAAATTATACCTGTAACCCACCCACGTATTTTGATCAAATTAACTTGAACGTTAGCATAATAATTTGACTGGGTGCATAATCCGTTCATTCAATTCCTAACACTATTATGATGAGGATTTGCCTATTTGATTTTAATTTAATTTTACTAAGATCTAGTCATACCCATTGCTTGAATAAGAAATTAAGCTTGATAGAAATGAGCTAAATTTAGGTGCGTAGTTATGATTAGGCAATATAAAATGTATTTAATTTATGAAATTTTTTTAAAATATGTTTAATTCATGAAATTTTTTTAAATGTATTTAATTTATAACTTATCGATAAAATACAGAATTTAACCAATGAAAGTAGAATTTCCCAATAAAATGTATTTGATTTATGTATTTAATTTAATTTACTTGCACTTGTTCACCTACACTACACCTATACAATTCACCTACTAATTCATCTGCGCACATATATGATAAATGCAATTTCATATTTCGATAAGTGAAAGAGCACGGAATTGTTTTTTTTTCAGCAAATTCAATTGGATTCAATAAATCGAATTTATTAAATTTATGAAATGATAAATGATTCCTAATTGGTACTTATATCATCTCAATTAATGGAACATAAATGCTTAAAAAATATGACAAGAATTTCCCAAATGTTTTGGGATTTAAAATGGTTTGCTTAAATTAGTATTAAAAATAAAAAAGATTAATTAGCTAATAAAACTTTAAAGGTTGATTTTTCTTGACGAAAAAACTTTTTACTAAATGAAAATGGTAAAATGTAAATTGTCAGAGTTTTTACTCTAATTTTCGAAAGTTTCAAATTTCATTTATCAAAATTAAAGCGATAAAATGAAAGCTAAATTAAGCCTATTAAATAGAATTAATGATTGTACATGCATATAGAATATTGCTATCCGTATTATTATTTTGTTGGCATCAATTTTCACTTATTTTTTTTTCTCTTCTCTTTATCATATGTGACAATTAACAATAAATGTACAAACAAATTGCATATTCAAAAAAAAAGAAAAAAAAGAAAAGGATCGCCGGAAATTGAGCAAATATCACCAAATTCGGTTTTTTTTAAATTTGTTTCATCGCTTTAATATCGATCGTTTTTCTGATTTTTTTTTCCCAATTTCGTTACAAATTCAAATTCGTACTGAATTGATTATATCGCGTAGTTCGGATGTTCGATAAATTTTATCAATATCCTAAAATATTTTTCATTATTCCTAAATTGCTGGCTAATTTTTCAAAAATGACCATAATTTATTAGGAATTTAAATATTATCCAGAACTCAATCATCAAATAATAGTTGCTGAAAATTTAACGAAAATTTATTAATTAATACAAAAGCTAATAATCTAATAATTCACTGGAGGATTTAAGAATATTTCTAGGATACGAATTTGATAAATGAGTATATCTATATAATCAAAACATTGACAGCATCAAATAAAATTTGAAATTGAAATAATAATTAGTTGTGAATAAACTTTTTAATTTGAAAACAGAAATTAAAAAAAAGAATGTTGAAATAATTTTATGATAAAAAGAAAATGAAGTGAATATGGGAAAGAAGAAAATGAAATGAATGTAATTGAAAAATAAATGATCGAAAAAGAAAACAAACTCGTAATTCGCTAATCCATATTTTTTTACTTTCCTTTCGTCGTCTCTTGGATTTCTTATCATTTTTATCAGTATCAATTATTGATCTTTTATCACATCCTGATGCAGCAAAACGAGCTTCAAACTACAATGCAATATTGCTACATCTATTCAAATCACTTTTTCAATTTGATACCATAAGTGTATGCTACCAAATTATACTTAAATGCTAATTATTGGAAAGGTTAGAAGTTGCTAGCATCATTAATTATGATTTTTCTTAATTATTCTAAATAATAAACATCGATATTTACTTACCTGTTCAAAGCTATTTTCCTTATCATAACCAAGCAAAATATCGATATCGAATGGTTTTCGAATGTAACGATTACGTCGATGAATGCAATTTTGACGATGTATTTTAGACTATAATTTTGAAAAAAGTTAATTAATTAAAGTAATACAAAATACGATCAAAAAATTTTTAAAAAAACTACTATTATATTAATTCTCAAAAATGCATAACAATATTTAGCATTCATTAAGGTCTGCTAATTAAATTATTAACTAATTAATATTGATTTAAAAATTTTATAATCAAATAACCTCCTCAATTTCATCATTCATTTCTGCATCTTTAGCAAAATTCATCAATTCTTGTGTTTTATTCCTGGTACCATATTTTCGTATTTCACGATTTTCAGTACTTCCTAATATCTGAAAATTTTTCTAATTTCAAGAAAGAATTTCCTTGCATTACTTTAATTAATTAACTTGTCTAATTAATTAACTTTTTCTAAACAGTCACTTCACTTCAATTATTTCAAGTAAAAAGATATAAAATTGTATTGCGACAATGAAAAATTTCATTTTATTTTGATCACTTTTGGAATATTGTTATATTTATTACAAATAGGAGCAATATTTTATAATAAATTTAAATGGTATCAAATTGTCATTTTATACGAACCTTTCTAGTTTTCGGTATAACCGGATCCGGTTTTATTCCTTGTTTCTTAGAATTTTCGACGCTTGTTGTTGAAGAATTTTCAACATTCGGTAATTTTGTCAAATAATTATCCATTGTTGGAGATTGAAGTTTCATTGATACTTCTGTGGCAGTTGTTGCTACAATTTTTGAGGTATGATTGTTAAGAGCTATAACATGATTTATATTTGAAAATTAAAATTTGTTATTTAACAAAAATAAATTAAAAATTTTTACCATTCTTGTGGTTATTTTCTTTAATTGCTTCAATATTTTTCTTTGCTTGTATTTCCATTTTTATTTTAGATGAGGAATTTTTTCCTAAAAAATATACTCTTTATTAGGCAATCAATAATTTGATATCTTGCAAAAATTATCAAAATAATAATAATAACAAAAAAAAAAAATAATAGTAATTAAAAAATAATAAGTAAAACAAAAAATAATAATTAAAATATTGTGATGAAAAAATAATTGTAGAGTTGTGATAATAAATGTGGTATTGAATATTTTTGCATATTTTCTAAATTTCGTTTATTTATTTTTGTATTTCACTTTTGAGATTAATTTTAATTCTACCAGAACTGATAGATCATTTCATTATTACATTTATTTTTTCCATTTATTTTGATATGAAAAAGAAAACAAAACAAGGAAATTAATAAGTTTAGATGCTCATAATTATTGCAATTCTATGAGATATTTGAAATTTTTTTTAAATTTATTGAAAAATTTTTCATATTTTAAAATATATAAAAAAGTGAAATAAAAATAAAAATTTTTAATTTTTTGGTGATATTTTTTAATTTATTAACTAAATGGTAAGATTTAATTTCATTTTTCAATTAAGTTTTATGAAATTTCGTAACTTGGTATATTAAAAAAATATTTGTTTTTAACATATTTTTTTAATTTTTTCTTCAACTTAAAATAATAAATAATGACAAAAATTTAGCTAAAATTTTAAACCAAATAACCAACAATTAAGATTAAACAAAATTTTCATACAGTCTGATGAAAATAACCTGAATTTATTGTTTCACATTCAGTGACAAAACTTGGCATAACATTTGTCATTTTCGTTTCTTGTGATGATTTCAATTGTCGTACTGTCTTTTTTGGTTCAACTAACGGTTGCGCCTGGAAAATGTTCTTATTTTTTTTTTGTTAAATTTACATAAATTTACTTTAGCATGATTAAGGGTTAAATAAATTGATTTATCACAGCTAAGATTCTTTTTATTTTTAACTTTTGGTATGTTGCAAAAATTCGTAGTAAAATATAGTAAATGAGGTTAAGGGCTCAAACAAAGAGGTTAAAGGTTAAATGTGACTTAGACTTTACCATAGTTGTAGTTTTTGCTATTTCAACATTTGTTGCTTTTGCATGATGCATTTCTTGTTCTCGTCTTATCAACTCTTTTTGTTGTTCAGCCGTACGATTCTCTTTCCATTTTTTAAAATTATCACCTATCTTTCTGAAATTTACTACAATTTTAGGCTATTTGCTAATTAAGCTAAAAGTAAATCAAGAATTAATTAAAAAATTCAACTATATTTTTATAACAATATAAAAATTTTATCTTATTTATTGCATTATCTCTACCTCTAAAAATTACAATTAAAAATTTCGAATTGTCATATCAATGAATTCACTTTTGAAAGTTGCAATCTTTATTTATTTAATTCAATTAATTTTTATTTTTTATTATTCTTTGTTTTTCTTTATTTTCAAAAAAAAAATACATATGTTTAGCAGAAATATTCCAACATCGAAGATGTAAAATGATAATTGCATTATCCTAAATTATTAATAATTTGCAAAATTTTGATGATTAAAATTTTTCAAAAAACAAATAAATAATACAGTATAAAAAAAAAGAAAAAAAGTGGAAAAATAAAATTTAAAATAAATTTTTCAAAAGTTGAATGTATTTTAGAAATTGACAAATTATAACAATTTCTTTTTTTTCAATTTAAATTTGAAAAATTTAAACTTCATCTAACCCAAATGTTGCATCGGCTTCAATTAATAATTGTTGATGTTTTTGTTCAAGAATTGCTCGTCTTGCATCATCAGCTACTGTTGCAATACCTTGTTTTAATTCAGTAAATTGTGAACTCAATATTTTATTACCTGTTCTCATTTTCATACGAATTTCTTCAATCTAAAAAAAAGAAAAAAAAAGAAACAACAAAAGAAAAAACAAAAAAAATTTTTTTGTCAATATTTAACATTTTAACATTAATATTAACAAACAAAGAAAAAGTTAGCATTAATAATAATTATTACAAATATTAAATTAAATTAAAAAATTCAAAATTCAATAATTTCTCCTATTTGATACTGTTAAAATTCATGCATTTAAATCATGCAATTGAATTAACAGCTATAGTAATATTAAATGTAAATTAATTTTAAACTAAATACTTTTGTTTTTAATTTAAATCTGGTATTTAAAAAATTTTTATTTTTAATCAAACAATTTCAAAAATGAACATTTACTTGAAAAAGTTACTTACTTGTTTATCAAAATTATCATTTATAACCGGTTTAATAATTGGTCCATAAGTACGTTTTGGTCTTTCTTCATCTTTCTTTGCTAACAATCGTGAACGTTTATACCTATAAAAGCGAAAATTTTCAAAGTTATTAAAAAAAAAAAGCAAAAAAAAAGGAGAAATGCTAAAAATGAAATTTTATTATTTCATATTTCATATTCAAATTTAGCGTAATTTCATTTCCTGAACAGGAAATAAATAACTTTATCAATTAAAATCGAATTTACTAATTTCAAATGTTTTAATGAAATTCAGTGTAATTTTATATTTAAATAAAACATAAAATATGAGAACGATACAAACGTATATGCATTCGGTTGAGCTTCCGCTAAATTGAATTTTGCACTTAACGCATTAACAATTCCTAATCTTCGAGCATTTTGTTTCGATTTCTCCTATAAAATTAAACTTATTATTAAAATTTAAATTTTTAAATTCAAAAATTTAAGCTTATAAATTAATTGTAATGTATTTAAAAAAATTTCAAACAACATTTTTGCAATTTTTACCAATTCCTGAATAAAAAAAAGGCCTTTAATGAATTACTTTATTAAATGAATTACCTCTTAGTTATTAAATGAATTGGCAAATATTAGAAATGGAAATCTAAACCGAAATTATTTTATTTTTTTGTTTATTTATTTTTATTCTTTTTTTGATTTGAAAAATAAATTCAAACCTCTTCTAAAGCACGAGCTTTTATTGCTACATCTTTTGCCATATTTATAGTCGATTTTCGAAGTGCCGACTTATCTTCCTGGAAATTTCTTTTTTTCTGATCGAAAAAAAAAAAACTAATTTTAAAAAATTTAAACTATTTTAAAAAATTTATTTTACAATGACATTTAAGAAATTTAATTTTCTCTTTTTCTTCTGGCCACTTGTTTTACTTACTTTTTGGCCTGAACTTGATGAAGTATTTGAAAGTGCAGATGTTGGCCTAGAATGTTCAATATTGGCTGATTTATTTGTGGAATCTACCGGTGCACAGTTTGTTACTGTTTCATTTTTAGCCATATTGAGAACTGATTTTCGAATTGCCGATTTATCTTCCTGGAAATTGCTTAAGTTAAATTACTATTTTTTCTTAAAAATTCTATAAAAAATTTATTTTACAATAAAATTTAATAAAATTTGACCAATTTTATTTTGAACATTCTTTTTGCTTACTTTTTGTCCTGAACTTGATGAAGTATTTGAAAGTGCTGATGTTGGCCTAGAAAGTTCAGCACTGGCTGTTTTACTTGTAGAATTTGTCGATGTATTGGCGCTTGACGATGACATGTCTTCATTTTTTTAGCAATCTTGAAAATTTTTGATAGCATTATTTTAATTGTAGCAATTTTTTGACGAAAAAAAAAGGCATCTAAAAGTAATGTAATTTTGAAATTAGCAAAAATTTCTCATTCTAAAACTTACCTTTCTTCATCAAAACGAACTTGCACTTTTTGTATTTTAACAGTTTCAAATTTTGGCGCTAAAACAACTGCTTTCTTGGCCCAATCAGTACTTGGCTTTCGTTGAATGAAAGATCGAACACTATCTACAGGTTGATCTTCGGTAGTTGGCCAAACATAAGTTGGTATTACTTCAATTTGTTTAGTTTCCTGTTTAAAATTTAAAATTAAATAATTAAATATTGAAATTTTATAAAATTCTTCAAAACAAAAAAAAAAGAAAAGATTAATTTAAGATTGATAGAGTAGAATAAAAAAAAAGCCAAAAGAATATTTTACACTTACTTTTTCATTATCATGTTCCTTAATAATTGCTACAACCTGCTCAGGTTTTTGCACTTCCAATTCATCAATTTCAACTATTTCAACATTTTCTTCCGCTGGTACCACATGTTGTGGTACCATTTTCCGGACAATTATTTCAGTTGCTCCTTCAGCAATATGTTCCATAGCTGCGTCTTCATTAGTTTCCTTAATCTGAATTTAAAAAAAAAAAAAATCCGTTTTATGATATTTTTCTTTCAATTCAGAACTTTCAAATTCATTATAAGTTTATAATTCAAAATTAAATATTAAACAGCAAAATTTCTAACTTTCATCTTTTCACGTTTTTTTTTTTTCAAATTTTCAAACGAAGTAAAGAAATTGCGTAAAGAGGAAAACTTAGCAAAAAAATTTTAATAAAAAAATTTTAAATCTTCATTGTTTCAAAATTTCAAAGTCTCAATGAAAAATTAGCATTTGCATTGAACTTTTCAAATTGCACGAATTATAACACTATTAATTTCATATTAATTTCGTTGTATTTTTTGCTTTTTTTTTGATTTTTTCTTTTGAAAAAGATTAATTTTATATTTAAGTATGATAAAACAAACTAACAGATATATTACTGATTTACTAAAGAAACATATGTAAAACACGTAAGAAATAATTAGTAATCTTTTGCGCATCAATCAAAAAATAATTTTTAATTTTTTTTAAAATAATTTTTAATTTACAGTCAAAAATAATCTTATACATGGTAGATAATTTCACATATTTAAATATACGTGATAGATTATTTCACATATTTAAATATACGTGATAGATTATTTCATATATTTAAGTATAGTGATAGAATATTTCACATATTTAAATATACGTGATAGATTAGTTCA